TCGCACCGCTCTGCTGACTTGAAAGTACTAAATGTCCAGAAGGCAGAGGCGTGCAGGTATTTTGCGACGTAGAATTTAGCACTTCTCCCGCAGGCTGCATCCTCCTCACTCAATCATGTCAATTCGATGAGCCAGGAGGCATGTGCTTGTAAGGAAAGCGCTGCAGGATTGGAAGTACAGGTACACCCGGAGAAAAGGCACCGGTGTTGAAGCCTTCAGGCATTGTGTTGTGGATCAGCTTGCAGGTTTCAGCTCAGGGGTCAGAGGTCTAGCTTCGGGATTAAGTTCAGTACAGGTTTTTTCTGCTAGTCCCTTGCATGTTTGCAGGACCCAGAGGCCCAACGTACTTCAGCAAGAACTAGGTTGGAGCATGCTATCTTTTTCTCGGAAGAGCTTCCGAGACACAGTTTCAGTGCCAACTATTGTCCACGAGGGCATCCGCATCTTGGGATGCTGGTTGTATCTTTTGGCGATGTATGCGCTGACCTGTTGGGATGGAGCGGCACTTCTGGGACGGAGACAGGTCAGCTTATTCAAGCTCTGACGCACTTGGACCCAATGCTTCCCAGGCCCCCTGGCTCACAGCACGCTGAAGAACCCTAAGCCAGCAGTGCCTCAAGACTTAAGACCCCAGTCCTTCAGCCCCTAAACTACTTCCTAGTAATCAATACAGTAAATATTCGACCTGGAAAAGCCAACTCCAATGCCATTACGGCCGCGTAACGATAAAGGCCAAGCTGAGAATTGGTGATGCCCTCAGGATAGATCACGAAGGCTCGAGAGTAGGGACAGTGCCTGGGCCACTTCGCTGATGCTGTGTACAGTCTACTGCGAATGATGACATCGGCGGAATCAGCGGGCTGATGCGGGGGGCAGCTTTGATCGCTTGACTGACAGCCAATGGGATACGACAGGCGTTGTTTGGAGGGCTTCTTTTGCAATGCCTCTTTCAAGGAAAAGCTTCTTGTGCATTATGCGCATAGCCTGGGGTAAGCTCGAAGCGAAGGCATCTAGGTCTTCGGGGCTTGGGCGTTTGCGAAGTTGTACTTGTGTTGCGCTCGAAGCTGATGGTCTCCGATGCATATGAGCCCTTGACTCTGGGACGTATGCACAGCTCACTCATTCAAGTTCCTTGGCAATGGACGGGACTGACAAAGACTCGGCAAAGTAGGAGAGAATGCTTCTACTTCGTGAATGTGAGTTTCAGAATTGGATGAAGATGTTTCTTGGCAGAGGCTAGTGCCGGGTATGTGGCGACACTTCGGGGGCCTCAGAACCTATGCTACAGACTTTTGGGGGATCCTAGGATATGAGGATGCTGAAAATTTGATTTGAAGATGGACAGCTAAGGGTTTGAGACTTGAGGGATGCATCAAGCCTAGTTGTTGGACTAAAGGTAACCGGGTGGACTTGACTAGATTATAGCTCTTGTGTCTGGTGGCCCTTCGAATGTCTGATGAACACATAAGGGGCTCAAGCTTTTCTTTGGTCCTCATACTTGAGGTCGGTTAGCGCCAAAACTACCATGCCCAAAACAAGATCTCAGCATCCAACACATGATCTTCTGCCCAGGGACCCGCTTGCATCCGGCTCATTTTTGGCCTCGGGGCGGTTACACTGTTGTATATGACACCCGGAGCCAGAAACCACGCCTGCAGGGCTGGACCCGTCGATGAAGAATGGGAGATACACTGACCATGTCCCGAACTTCAATCTCTTAGCATACTGCATTATGGAGTTGTTGAAAGCCTGGAGCGCAAAGCCCTAACAGACAACAGAGTGTCAACATCACATGAAACAATCCAGTACGCGCATGCATCAGCTTGAGGGAAGAGATCGAGATACTGACTGACTGGAAGCGCGTTCCTAAGAACAATCACCTACATTCCACATACTACAGACTAAGTGGGCCTGTTCCGCCATCCACCATACTTATAGACACAAGTTTCTATTAGGTCCCGTGCTAAGCCGGTCTTATGTTCCGGCTTATGTGGGTCATGAGTGTCTTGTCTTTTGTGAAAAGCTTGGTCGACTAGCCTCGCTCGAACTTTGGCTCCTGCACTGAAATTAAACGTCGTCCTCTTTGACAACAGTGGTTTTTTCATTTGGAGGAAAATGAGGGCCACTGCGTAATACGACCCTCTTTACCTTCATCCAGATTCTTTAAGAGCTCATACGCTAGCACCAGAAGCATCATCCCAGGCACAGTATGAATGTCTGGCGCTTTGGTCTTGCAAAGCAGCTGAACCCATCCAAGTGGCAAAGTTTGTAATGCCCATTTTGACCTGCCGTGTCAAGACGTCAAAGCTGCATAAGAAAGGTGGGCATACCTGAAACAAATGCACCAATCATGTTTGTCTTCCCAACACCATTCCAGGTCACTGCAAGCAAGCCCCAAACGTGCTTGAAGTCTTGCGGTCACAGCAGATCATTAGACTACGTGCTTCGAGAGGTCAAGGCGGTCTTAACCCTTGAATGATTCAATCACTTGCCACCTGATGCATTTTTAGCTGCATGCACGGAAGCTGAGGAGACAGCCTCTGCTTAACAGGAAGGCAAAACTAAACCTTCGCAAAAACCTTCAGGCCCTTCTGATGCAGAAACCTGCGCTGAATTGCTATATTGTGACAAATCTCAGGCCAACAATCCCAAACTAGCATGTGTTTCACGAGGCGCCTTTTAACCTGCCCTGCTTGCACGCGTAGATGCAAGCATTAGGCATCGGCGTACGTGCGACATGATGAATGTTTACAAATATCATTTGTATTGCAATAGTGATGCTTGCCACAATAGAGTCATGATGACTGCGGCTGTGTATGTACACGACATAAATCCAACTGGAGAGCCACTGCCGTTACTCCTCCTTCATTATTTCCGATCATTGCCTTGACACCTTTCAGGCTCGTAAGATCTCTACACAAGGTTGGGAGGGAAGCATGAAGCCAAGGCCAGGCTTCAAACATCTCCTAGCAAAAATTGGCTGCAAGTCGTTTCCCTTGCGATCAAGCAAGCAACGGATTGCAGGCAGAGCGTGTCTACTCCTGTTGCAGTCTCCTCTCGCAGACTAAATATAGGCCCCAGCAGAACAACAGGACCCTGGACCTCAGGATCATGACCCGACAATGTCAGTTTGGCTTCCCAGCGCATAGTCTTGAAACAGAACTAAATGCACAGCTGCACATCTTCCGCAAGTCAGGGAGTACAACGGCAATGGTCAATGTGGGTCTCCTGTTTACTGCGCTTGGGATAGGTCGGAGCATAAACACCAAGTGTCGTAAACAATAAGAAGCTGATGTTTTTCTCGCGGCGACATATTTGTGATGACATGTTGGATCACGTAAACATTTGCGTCATAACTTCATTGCGATTTCGTGCTGGCAGCCGATTGTCTTCTTGGCCCTATAGCAGCTGGACATTTAATCAAGGCTGAAACAAACTGAAAAAAGTCGGTTCGATTCCCAAAAGCCATTTGACTATGTCACCGCCTATCTGCACCTATCATAAGAAGAGGATTAGTACGACACGATCGAGACTCTGATTACAAAGATAGGAGGCTGTGTCTTTCAGTTCTTTGACCATCTTACTGTCTAATTGGCTAGGCCCGACTGGATGAGTCAAGGACGACCTGAATCTCGTTGACCTTCATAGCGGGACATGACCCAGCCTTCTCCTTCATATTTTTGTCCTTGGGATCGATGACAACCTGTCTGGAATGGCGTGAGCGGAGCCCAGGGAACAAATGCATTTTGAAATTTGAGTTCGAAATTTCTACCTCTTAGCCCCGAGCGTGAACTGCTGCAGCCAACTTAGCAGGCCCTGATGGCCCTTGACCCAAACCCTCAGCTACTTCAAAACTTGAACCACCGAAATCAAGCTTCTGCTTAATCCGTCTCACAAGTCCTGAGGCCTTCGACTGCAACCCTGTTCACCTTTCAAGCAGGACAAGCAGTTTTCGGACACAAATCCACTGAACTCCCCTGAAACCCAAGAAGGAAGTCATCGCCACCCGGAAGCTGCGTTCATGTATCGCGAGGCCCAGCCAATCCCAGGAATGTTCAGCTGTGACCTCGGACTGTGCCAGTGACTACAATTCAGCTCGACACGTAGCGCGTAAGATTGAGGTTTGGGTTTCAAGGTGTGGTGCTCATGGCGTACAAATATTTGGGCTTAAGCAATCTTGCGGGACGATCCAACGCTTGGACTTGCTTGCCGTTTACTGTATCAACCGCCCCACCCCCGCGGCTCCCGTGCACAACCAACGAAGGCATTGGCACCAGCACTAGCAACTACAAGTAGCACTAGCACCGCCACCGCTGCTGTCACCACCACCATCACCACCGCCTCCTTACACAAATGTCCACAACCTGAAGTGCAATGGGCCAATACAAGACCCTTGCGTGCACCACAATATCCTTTCATGCAGGAAGAGCCTTGAAATCCAACAATGATACTTTGGCAATGCAATCATGAGAGTTTTGAGTTAGAGATGGCGTTGTCCATATAAGGCTTGAGAGCAATATGCGCTGTTCTGCAGAAAGGTCGTTTGCTCACAGCTTGTCATCTAGACTCCAAGTTCGTTACCGCAACCTCTAAACTCTGGACTTGGTCCAACAATTTCAGTGAACCCATTTCTGACCGCAGTATTCCATCGACTGAGTTTTGACCTTATGAGCGCAAATACTGTTGAAGTTCCTTCTATTCATTTTTAAGCCAAAGAGCTTAGCCACGCAACCGCACATGCCCCAGGTAATGAAGTGGAGGTGGAAGGCCTCTGCCGGAATTGAGGGAAACATTGTCTTGTCCCTGCTTGACTTTCACGGGTGAGGCTTGGACCTCGCGGATGAGATGTTAAAGCGCCCATCGCTGCTGCTATACTGTCCAAGACGCTTTGTGCGGGCCAACGAAAATGGTTCTAAAACAAAAATCGCAGATCCACACCTCCCAAGCTCTCGTGCACGTACAAGTTGTGCTCAAAAGCCTACGTACATCACGTGCGCTGCCTCCACTAGGGAGACGTGATTCGGCACGAGGATCGGATGTGGGCCCGGCTTCTGAACCCATGCAAGGCCCTCGGCATTGAATACCTGCAACGGCTGAAATGTTTGAGGATGGCAGTTGTTTCAGGTCGAGGGTCCAAGGTTAGCTAAGGTGATGGGGAATGTCAGTTTTGGTGCCTTTGCCTCTGGGAGTATTTGTGATTTATTCCAATGAGCGAGAGACTGACCTGCAGCAGCCTGCGGCCTTTCATGAGGCCCTAGCGTCAAACGCTTTGCTGGCTGCCGAAGGTCAAGGTAACGATCTGTGGAGTTCAGCGCTTTTTGGGTTGGACGGTTGTGGATTCAACGGAGGAGCATGCATGGCTTGGGCCATTTAGGCCATATAGCATTCGTGGTCATTGGCTTACGCGTTGGTGGAGGCCGGTCTTTCAGACATAGGACCACAAGGACGGGACCTGCTTCTGCACAGGTGGTACTGCGCGTAGAGTCCAGATGCCGCCCCGAAACTGCCAACACATTCCTCATGTCGACTGAGGAAGCCCTCTGACAAATGTGAATAATATTTGGGACGGTAAGCAAGTGCATACAATCAAGATGAGCCCCTGTGAAGCAACATTCCCCAAGTCTCTGGCATCCTCCTCCATGTAAGAAGGCTAGTTCCCAGCGGGCTAAAGCTTAGCATTCTCACCTCTAAGATTTAAGCCCGTGTCTGAATGCCGATGCTGAATATCAGCCAATACCAAACACTGAATGTCAAACACGACCCGGGCGGGACTCAAATCGCTGCTTGCGCCTCAGACACGTAGCTCGCACAGGTGGTGCACAACAACTTCATGAGGACGTGGAAAATCACGTTGACCCCGCCTTGATGTGCTTGGCGAATGCAATTTTGAGGCTACCACTTTGCACTGCAGTAAGTGGGAATGTAACTGTGCCAACTGTAGCCATACAGTCGCATGTTGGAAGTCGTGATTGCGCATTGATCCTTTGCCCAGGAGTATTTAAAGCCTCCACTTGGGCAGGCTTCCCACAGAAAGTGTTTTGGTCGTGCCTGAGTTGGTACACAAGGGGTTTCTTGCGTGATGATTAACGGTGTTCGGCCACAAAAACGTGCATTAATATCATTGCTCGTATCTGAAACCTCAAGTACTCGCCGTTTGTATTGCTTCATCCCTACATTCAAGCAGGCGCAAAGAACACACAAGTCCAAGACCCTGGATCCTAAAGCCTGAATCCTCGATGCTTAGCCCGACTGACGTCTAAGCTATTGCATCTTGAAGCCTAGGCCGAGGACATGTCCCTGAGATGGGTGTTTGGCGCACTTCAATTCTAGAGTCAGGACACCCAACAGTTTAAGGCTAAGGCTTGGGAGTTCAGAGTGTAAGCCTTACAGAGGCTCGTGGATCATGCGTATTTGGCGTACTCAAAGCCAGCGTGTGATATTTTGAGCCAGTGGTTTCTTAGCCATCGGATGGTTGTGAATTACAGTAGAATCTTTGACAGGCGGGAACTCCTACGTATGTAAGACGGTACAATACCGACCTCAATTGGAGACTACATTATGTGAAATCAACCGGTGAGGGAACGGAACAGAGCCAGAATTGCGCAGACTCCAAAGATCACGAACCCTAATCCGAATCATGTAGCTAATAATTCCGACTTCTCGAGTGCAGATTCGAGGCGGTGCGGCCAGGATCCGGGCTTGAAGCACATCCCTAGTCCTTCGATTGTAGCACTTGAAAAGTAGAAGTTTTCAAAACCCGGTTTCCTATGAGAAAGATCCTTGGTAAATACGCAGAATGGCCCTGATTTCATAACTTCAAGTACCCGTATTGTTCAATGACGAGTTGGTACATTTGAGGGCGAGCAGCTGGCGAACTGCGTGGGAAGCTTGGAACATGTAGGAACATCAAGGATTTGTATGAGGTAGTCGCATTGTAAGACTGATTGTGACCGGTGTAAGGAACATGGATCGTTGCATCTAGGTATGTCTGTCCGCTGTATGTCTGTATGCGCGCATGGATGTCTGTATGTGGCAAACCTGAGCAAATTTGTCGCTTGTGGTGCAAGCCTGTGGCTGTGGTCCCTTGGTAAGCCGAATGTTGGGGGTAGCTCATATGATATCAACTGCAAAGGCTTACAAAGGCAGAGAGTACGAGTCCTAAGCAGTTTGAGGCAGCAGGGTTCACGCGTGTGCTCTTTAAGGTTGAAAGATTTCATAATTCCCAAAAGAAGCACCACACAGTTCAAGCGTCGAGTTTTTTTTGATGTCTAACTCTAGGGCTGGACTGAGCCTAGAGCCAATAGCAGGTGTCATGCACAGAAGCTGAAGATTCGGGGTTGATCGCCATCAAGTCCAGGGTTCCAGGTCAGGGACGTTGCGTTGCATGTTGAGGAGTGTTGGAAGCTTATCTTCAGCAGTCATTTCCAGACGTACAGGCTGAGGTTCAGGGATCTACCTAGATTGCTATGCAGACATGCCAACGGAAAAGCCGGCAGCACGTGCAACCCACAGTTATCAAGCAGAACACGCGCTTTGGCTCAGGGATGTCTTTGAAGGTCGGCTCGTGAAAGCTTCTTGAGTTTGGCCTCAACTTCTTCCTCTTCCGAATGTTCTAGGGAAAGCAACCATGTGCTCAGATGTAATTTGTAATGCACTACTTACCACAGACAAGCCCCAACTTTTCGTTCTCTCCTGCATCCAACAGCCAACATGAACCGAGGACAAACATCCCAAATCACCCAACCCTACTACACTGGCCATGTCTAACAACCTAAACATTTCGCCGCCCGGGCACGCAGAAGCAGCGCGACGTTGATGAAGACAATGAGGAAGGAAATGAGGCGAAATGGCAGCAAACCTTGTCACCAGCCCTTTTGGAGCCTGGGGTGGGGCAAAACGCTCCCGAAGCGGACCTAGTGGCCGTGATATGTCCATCTGGCTCGGGCTTTCAAAGGCTCTGGGGGTGTAAAAGGCTTAGAGCCGCTTTTGTTAGTTCATATTGTTGGGATCTTCCGTGTAAGCAGACATGTTTAGGATTTGTGACTAGTTGTTGGTGAGAGCTTCAGGCTTGTGAGCCTAGACCTTAGGAGCCTTCAGAGGCATTGGAGGGGAAGGGGAACAAACTCGAGGGCTCGTCGCGGAGCTCGACGTAGCTCGGGCTCCTCTCTGGCTTTACGGTTCGGCGTTTCAGAACTTGAGGGCACACGCCATTGCAGCAGATGTTGGTTTTGGCTCAGACTCCGCACCGAAAGCTCCAACAACAAATTAGATCCCACAAGTCCAGTGGTCTCCCACTGGTGAAAATCCAGCAGGGCTCCTACCAGTATAGTGTGGCATGAGATCACGCGGCACATGGGCCAGGGACTCGTTAGGCCGTATTTCAGAGCTTGGAGGGGGAAGGGACCGAAGCAGGGCGCTTGCAGCAGCCACCCACAGTAGAATTGTCAGTTAGAGGACAGATTGAGGTCTCAGGTCTGGTCTGGAAGAGAATTTAGACTGTTGTCAGGGCATGAGTCTGAGGGTGGGGGTCTCTGCGTGTGGTCTTGGTCTGCGACTGTACTTGAGCAGAGGCTACGCATCAGGTTCACAAGGCAAGCTGAAGCCCGAAGCTATCCTTAACTGAAGCCTGCAAACTTTGATGCCTCTGCGCTTTTTCTGAATCTATGTGAAAACAAGGTCCCTGACAGCAAACAGCTTCATGTACTGAAGAACCGCAGTTTGATACTACGTTCAGGTTCACCCATTCTATCTTGCAAGCTCCAAAACCTGCTCATACAACCTCCAGATCAAACAAGATGCCGGTCAGCAGGGTGAAAACTAACCTGAGCTGCAAATTTCTCACAAGCCCCGCATGCAGATCAGGGTGGAGTGTTCTGGATTCGGAGTTTCAGGATCACCTTCCGTTCGAGAAAGGGGTTTGCATTGCCAGTACCTGCCGCACTGATGAACTGCACACTTCACCTGCAGGTCTTCGCCTCAAATCACGCTATCCTAACTTCTGTCCTTCTGTCAACCGCAACTCCCCTGACCTTTTGATCCCTGAATGTACCCGCTGCTTTGAACCCCGGACCCAAGGAGCTTGACAATGGCCAGCGGTGGCCACCCAGGCGTGTCGTAGTCGTAGCATTCATGCCCCTCACCCACACGTGCCTTTGTCGATTGGGAGTCTTGGGGGTTCAGGGCCCCAATCCATGTCCGGAGCCTGTGGGGACCACCAAGATGCGGTGCAGACATTCTCCATGTGGCGGTTAATGCCTATCAAAGGTTCCTCTTTCGACATGCTCAAAAAAGTAAATGCCCACAAGGTCAGAGTCAGCCCCCTCCTTTTGGAGAGATTTCAAAACGGAGTCATCTTTTGAGCTACCGAAGAGGTCCCGACAAGACACCGCCGGCATCAAGGGAAAGCAATAATGACGTACTCGAATGCACAAACAAATGTACACCAAAATGTCACCCAATATAGTACAATATACTATGATAATTACACCCAATATATTATAATGATTGTTCTCTACCAAAAGTCTTGCGCCAAGCTGCTTGCTCCCCACCTTCGCTCAGCCGCTTGTTTGTCATCCTCGGGAAAGGAAGGCTCATGAAAATTATCGACATTCGCGTAGCTCCCAAACCGGTCCTTCTCAGTCCTTCTGTTCATGAGATCATTAAGACTGCGAACGCTGCAAGATCCGAGCTCTATTGGCACACAATCCAGCCTGGACTTGCAACAAGGATGTGCGCAATCAACATCAGGTCCGAGGAGCCAGTGTGGAACCACAGCTCGCTCCCAGCTGGTATTCTTCAAATTCAAGAGCAATCAAGATATTGATTCACGAATGCATTGGTGTCCTACCACGCTTTGCACAGCAGAGCACTAGCTTGTAAATGCTCTGGTGCAGGCACAGCCCTTGATCAAGCAAGCCCAACATCATCTCAGAACAAAGTCTTCAGAAGTTGAAAAGGATCTGAATGTGAATTGTAATCCCCATATTGCTCGGATGAGGGCTGCCCTTTTGGGCCCGTTGGTATTCGGGTCAAACATGTAGGATGCCAAACAAAAGCGTGTGTCTGTCTGCAACCTCTGTACTCAATCCTGCTTGCTACTTGTCTAGAATGTTTGACAATTTTGTTCCCTATCAAGAACCGCTACATCACTCCATTCTTTTACCAATGTCTTCAAGCCCACTTGCTGCAGGCCCTGTTGCGGCACATCAGGCCATCGGCTTGGGCAAAGCAAGGTCCGCAGCACTTCACAGATCCTCGCCCAAAGCAGAGTTCGCACTACGAAGCCCTGTTGGTTTGGCAATCCTGTTGAGACTTGTTGTAGATATATAGATCTCAAAATCTGGTTCTAACCCATCATCGATTCAGAGAGGGTCTTTCTATGCCAGCGGAGCACCAAGTTCAGGCCTCGATAAGCAGAGCATGATTGAAGCATTCTGCCCTCGTTGTTATGAGGGCTGTCAGTAGAACTTTTTACACTTACATCTGGGATCCAACGGCTCCAAACAAAGGCGTCGTCTCACTCATTTTAGATTGGTTAGGTTTCTGAGTTTTGTAGCTTCAGTCGTCGGCTTCAGTGTTGGGGTTTGCATCAGTGAAGGTTTCTGCGCTCCCTTGTCTGTTGAAGACAAGCTGACTGAGAGGTTGGAGTCCCTCGCCATTCAGGCCAAGTTCAAGAGCACCAGAAACAATGCAAACCTTGAAACAAGCGCTCCAGTTCCCTGACGCCAAACCATCATTCACGAAAACCAGATTGATGCTTAGGACCTGAACCAAACATTGCGCTTTGACAAGATCCTCAAGCTGCCGTGGAAAGGGCAGCAGCGAACCCCAACTTGCAACTGGTGACTGTGAATCAAGAGGCCTTTAGCAGCTTTCCTGACTGGATGCTTGATTCCTTCATACCACTCCGACTGTGCAACAGTGCGGCCACAGACTTCTACGAATCAAAAATCATCCTGGGGTCTCGGGCCCGGGACGAGTTGCTCCCAATGCTGAGGTCTGAGGAATATTGAAGACTAGTTACCCAAGGATGAAACAGTGTTCCTGGGCCTCCTTAGGCAACGAAACAAGTTGCTTTGCAACTCGTGTGGCACTGAGCTCACCACCAGATCAGGAGATGAAGGCCAAGCCCCAAGCCAAAGTAACCTCATCGAAGGGTTAGGGGGAACGCTGACTCTATTCTGAACCGTGAGAAAAAGGGGAGGCGGGGGGCGGCGGCAGACGCAGGCGGCATTGGGCGGCCGCGTCCGACAAAGATCGGACGCCCTGCCAAGAGTTGTGGCAACACTTGGAGCGCGGATGCTTCGCCTGGGCCTATGTGTCAGGGCCACCACGATACAGCTCCTAGAAGATTAGTTGAAGAAGCGTCTGTCTGGGATTGAGGTTTGTGCTGGAGCCTCTACATTGCTGCCCGAACATGCATGAATCCTGGGCCTCTTCGTTGAGAGACAATTGAGGTCAGCGTCCAGCTCACAGCTCTGCACCCACTGGGTCTACAGAAAGGCGTTTCCATTCGAACTGCACCTCAGGCCTGACTTTGTAGCAACGGATGGTCGCAAGCCAGGTTGTCTGGAGAGTGCTTCGAGCACAGAACAAATCTCGAACGTATCTCTGCGCTTACGCTCACGCCTATTCCTTGTGCGCGCTGGCTATGCCACGGTTTTGGAACTCATCGCGGCCGACCTGCTGACGACAAGTTTGCAGTGCTTTTTCAATGGATCCTCAAAGTACAATACGCCCGTTGGCACCGTTGTGTCCTCTTGCCGGCTGGCCTGCGGACGTCGCTCCGCAGACGCTCGTCAACGGTCCACATTGACTTTGCTCCACTGCGGTCTCGGCTTAAGTCCAGGGCATATGCATCAGAATTCACAGCAGGGTTTTCGTGATGTTGAGAGTTGGGAACCCTTCTGAGAAAGGCCTGTGGCTTGACATCAACATTCACCTGACCAAGATCAATAGGGCACAGGCCATTGCTGAGCACAAAGAGCAACAAACAAAAGCTGATTTTCATCTCATGTGGGGCTCATGATATCCTTTGAGTATTCAGTAGCCTTCAGACTTTCACAGGTCAGCCGTGGTTCCAGGTTTGGGTTTGTACGTGCAGCTACGGACTTCTCTTACCCTCATCCGTGAAGTCCTCATAAACCGAAACGTTCAACACTGCAACGGAGAACTCTAAAACGAGCACGCTGTAATCCTCCGTGCCACTACTATGGCGGACCTAACTATCCGGACTGATTTCCCCTAAGAATTGCAAAAATACCTGGTCTCTAGGCAAAGTGGCTGGCAATGCCAAGGAGAACTTCACCCATGGCTGCCAGAAGCGTGCGCAGCAAAGAGAAAGAAGGGTGTTTAGGGGTTTCATGTCAACATCTTACCTTCGAACGGTGGCATCTCAGGTGCTGCTGGCTTGAAGTCTAGGGCTGTGCGTTGATGGCTTGAAGTATAAGATTGTCTTGTATTCTTACTTGGTCGGGCTTGGGTTCAAAGATTTTCTACTAGTGGGTCAGGAGGCTTGCATTGCAGAAAACGAATGATACGTCTTGTTTCATGAGAGCCCTTGAGGTTGAGGGCAGGCAGCCAGCATGGTCCAGACTTGTCTCCATCATGCTGACCTGGCCAGAGAGCCTCTAGAACGCAGCTGGGTGCAGGAGGGGCTGTAACCTGCATCTTGCCCTGCCAGATTGTTGGGCCCTGCACGAACCCCACCCCTAGCATGAGCACGCCTTTCACCTTTCAGATGCTTCGTACACTTTTTTGGGAAACAGGTTTGCTAAGCTTCAGAAACAAGATCAAGCCACACCTCTTGTCAAGACTGCACGAACCCGAGAAAAATGTTGCTTTACTCCAATGTGTAACAAATCGCAGCTGCCCTGTGTCTCGAGAAACAGGCCCGGAAGGATGGGTTTTGAAGCAATTCCTTGCCAAGGCAATCTCAACACATTCCCTGTGGCTTCCAAAGCCTGAATCCAAAATTTCATCATCTGCAAGTTGTAAATCGCATGCCGCCGACTCCATCTGGCACAACTGGCATCCAATAAACACGCACATCTGACATCTGACATGAGCCCTTGCGCCTCCGCAACCAGCAAAACGTTATGTAAGACACAGACACTTAAGGCCCTGCAACAGTATAGAGCCTGGCAGCAGCCCCATCAAGCCGAGCCCCACAAACTGCCCCTAAATCTCGCTCATCTCGCTAAACTGCATGTCGTCTCAACCCAACCTTCATCGCTCCCGCATGCATTCCCATCATACTTCCCATAGAGACCTCCCAAAGCCTGCAAGCTACCAACCCAAACGCTTGATTTTCCTCAGCTGCACACGGCCCTGCGTCTCGTCACTCGCCTCAGCAAGCGCTGCTTCTGCCTCGCGAAGGAGCGTGGCACCTGACAGATTTCAAAAAGAATATCAAAAAGTGTGGGCTGTTTGGAGTTTCTAGATTTGTGTACAGGTATAATTGGCAGGGTGATGCTGGCATGACAATGATGATGATGGTGATGTTGATGTTGGAATTATGCAAGAGTTGTGTATGGATGCAAGGGGGTGTCTTGCGCTTCCAAAGTTGGGTCGTTGTACCAACTTGACATGTACCCGGTGCGAACGTTGGGCTTTGAGGAACTATGCGGCATTGAAAACAAATAATGGTAATGATATGTTTCGAAGTCCTGAAAGCTGTGCCAGCGTGCGGTGTCCATGGTTTACTATCGCCATCGCCGTTGAGATGTCTCAAATACTGTACTGCTGAATGGCGACTAACTAGGAATGCGTCCCACGCCCGCAAGGCCCTCGGCCGTCGTCAAGTTGAGGGCTTGCGGCTTCAGGAAAAACATGAACTGAGGCAAATGAGGATTTTATGTCTGAGCCGTTTTGGGACTTGGGTAAGGGGTTGCTTTGGGAATCCGGTGTGGCTTAAAGCCCACACGGCTTGGGGCTTCGCACTTCGCTTTACCACCCATACAGGCATTGACACTACAAGTACCGTGCACGTTTGAAGTTTGGAATCGCTAAAGACTCAGGTTCACTCGGAAGGATTCAACCTCGTCTCTGACTGCGATAGAATTTGTAGTTTAGCGACAACCTTTTGGAGTTCAGGTCACACGCGGCCACGCATGCTTGCCATTCCTGTAGCACTCCAGGAAACCAGACTAAACAGAACTCCAACCCCGCGATCCGATCGCCATAAAATTGCCAGCCAGACCCAGCGCCGAACACTCCAAAAATCTTGGATCCGGCAACTTCAAACCTTTAACCGAGTGACTTGGCCGCCTGGCGAACAGGTGGAGGTTATGCTAAACCAGGCAAACAAAAAATCCAACATCCCCCATGTAGGCTTGGAGACCTTCCTACTGAAACTGCCCCAGACCGGCATCCTCTGTCTTAACTGCGCAGCTCTAATCTCCACTCGAAGAATCCACTGACATTGCCCACCATGCCTCTTGGGCTTACCGGGCCCAAGGAAGCGCGAAGCTCCCTCAGCCCCAAATTCAGCTCTGCGGAAACGGCATGGACGTACCTTCCGGCGCGGATGCTCACCAAGGAAAGTAGCATGTAAAGTACGCTTTTCGGTATACCGTACGCAGGGTCTGGAGCACTTGGGCAATCTAAACACTGAGGGTGTGATTTCGGTGCTCTGCAACCTTCGCAGACAAGATTTTCGGCGACAGAACCTGTTGGCTTGCTCATATCTCAGTGGGCTTGAGATAGGTAAATTTGGGCCTTGATTAGGTGGGGCGCGGGGGGGGGTGGAAGACAGGCCGGAGAAGTGCATCTCGCACTTTCTCAAAGGCTTGCCCAGATTCCCCGGACTCGTGTATTAAGTGCCCGTGGGACCCAGCTGGGCGCTGAACGTGAGCGCACCCTGAATTCCAACCATACAAACACACACACACAATTCCTCAAATCCCGCAGGGTTGGAAGAAGCGCACGGCCAAACGAGCTCGTGGTCCAAAGGCTGAAGTGCTGCAAGCACCTGACACGCTTCAGCACCAGGGAACAGAATTACAACTCAAAGTCCAAGGGTTTACGGTTTACGGATGGATTCCGTGACTCGTCTGTTCAAGTTCAGTGCGTGAGGGTTGTAGGAGTTGTGGCTTCGGCAAAAGGGTATGAACAAGTAGGCAACCATCTTGTCAAGACATGTGAAGTCTTACCCTTCATCCTTGGTTTCCAATCCCTCCCCCCGCCACTCCACGCCCTGAAGCTGCTAAATCCCAAAATCCCAGCATTCTTTGCCTCCGCCACGTTACGGTGGAGATCCTCCGGGTGGCAGCGGTCTGCCTGGCTGAGAAATGGCAGAAGACTTCCTAGTCCAGAACTTGCACAGTTTGGGCTTGGGATTTGGGTGCTTCGGGGCTCAGTGGATTCATGGAGATTTAGGGATTTGGGTCTTATGCATGAAGCCCAATCGGACCTCTTCAACACCTCCACTACCTGCAAATGTTCATCACGCACCCTGACCCTCACGCCCAAGCCTGTCCTAAACCCTGTACGGCACAGCCGCAACCCTAATACTCCAAAGCACCAAAGCCTCAGTCTGAAGTCAAAGGCTCCAGAGATCTGCGTGACTTTTAGGTGTGACATCTCTTGGCGTGAATCATTCCAATGATGTGCTGACTTGGCGGCCCGAGTTCAGCTCTGGGGTCATCAACGCTACATGGCTTTGTTTTGTATTCAGTAGCTGAGCTCAGTAAGATCTTAGTTTGGCCCCTCATAAGGCTCGCGCCTTGGTCAGGACAACCATAAGCTGCCGGCCGCTGCCCATGACGGCCTGCTTTCAAGACACCCCGACTCCACCACTCAGTCATGGTCTACAGCCTTCTCAGAAACGACTTTTTCTTTTAAGCCTTGTGTGAAGGGAGGTGCGCCCCTGTCACGTCATCATCGCCATGCTCTTCTTCATGCTGCTTGGTCTGAAGCTGAGCGTTGCAGGGGGAAAAGACTGGTGCTGCCCTAGCGGCGCGGAAAAGACTACCGAAGCTAGTTAAGCCCCGTGCCGCTCCTGTGCCGTTTCGCGTTTGCCGCCGGGGGACCCTAAGTTGTGTTAACACATATTTGTCACACATTCGGAGGTTGGTGTATTTGGAAGCTCTGCTGTATGCGCAGGTTTGATCTTGAAGGGCGGTTCACCGTATACAGCCCCGCTTAAGGTTTCATACCCATCTTAGCAGTGAGCAGTTGTCGGTTTCTATTGGGACCCGGGATGCATCAAAGCTTATGCGTCACCACGTTGCCCTTGGACTTCCAACCCTCCTGGTGTGGTCTATTGTCGGTACATGTGTTCCTTGCTCGAAGAGGACTTCGCGCAATAGGTCATCTGAGAGACTTCTTAGGATGTGACCAGACAATGTAAGTTCTCTTAGTCTCCATTTCATAGACAGTCCTGCATATTTGTTCCGGACTCTGTGATTGGTTGCGCCTACAACAACATTCTGTGCTGGCACACATTCATTTATGTTTAAGTTGAATGATGTATCTGCTGAAGACGACGGAATCCAAGACATGCAGTTTCCTTCCTACTGTGGTGCGGGCATCGGACCAAAGGCTTTAACAAGAGTTGTCACAGCAGTGGCCTGTCCGAATCGTTTGACACTTCATTGTCATCGTTTAGAATGAGAGTGATTTGTGAGGATGCTTGCACATTCGTCAAAATTTGGATTCCTGTTGCATTCTCCTGGTTCTGTTTGAACAACAACTTGATGTGAGCCGTTGTGTACCGTGTGCGCGTGCGTGGAACAATAACCTGTCGCGAGCACATCTTATTTCTGCATGATGCATGCTTGATTCGATGCCAGCAAACATGGCTGTCATTAGTACACCAATCGAAGCTGGGATACTGGACATCTTTTTACGAATGCCTGAGACTTGTCTGTGGTAGTCGGCTTTGATGATACGATTTGGTATGGCCTGAAGGCTGTTATCAGCTATCAAAAAACTGCCAGCCGACCCACTCTTCGCCTGCACAGAGCTTGATCTAGAAAACTGTAGAGGCGTGCCTTTAGTCCTCATTTATTCCTCTTCTTCGATTACCAGAAGTCTGGGTTGCGGAAGGATGCCAAACTGCATGCGGTAAGGTTCGTGATCAGTTGATAAATGTGCTGATCATCATGAACTCTGATGTCTTCAACTTCCAATCGCGCTCCGGATTTCAACCCGCCCATGGCAGATTGCCGAAACCTTTTTCCTGCAGTAGACCCTATAACCTTGGATGGAGCCTCCCAAATTCTCTCGTCATCTCGTCGCAGCCCACGAGATGCATCCTGGGCATGTCATTTAACTTCTATACTTCTCTTTGTTTTCCCACGCGTGTTGTTTCAACACCTAGAGCATGATATGACTCCAGCACCCAATCCCGCACAATGACATCAATGACATCAGGCATGTGCACAAGAAAATACGTTCCTGAGCGCTGGCACATTTGCCTACGGCCCAAAGCTACCAACTTTAAAGCGTAAGTAGCTGGTGAAACTCGGGGAGTGTTCTCTTGTATAGTGTCGACGCAAGCAGCGTGTAGAAGTGTGGCTACTTGGCATGCCAACTTGCCTTTCAGGATTAAGGGCCCAAACCATAAATGGGGTTAAGATCCGGATACGAAAGATTTTTTGTAGCTTGCCACAATGCAGATTTGTGCATACCACCTACATCCCAACTCAAAAGCATTCGCATGACAAGATTTGTCTCAAGGACTTAGAGCTTCAGGTTCTGCGAACCGCAGCAGCAGATCCTCCTGTGTCTTCTTCTTTTGTAGCCATCTGGCACAACAGACTGAAAGGTTCACTACGCCAACAGCCAACTTTTCAATTCTGTACTGGGCGAGCAGAAGCCCGGCGCAAAGATTTGAACCCACATATGGCAAGAACTATACCAAGAATCCTGCAGTCTGCACCCTGAAGCTGTGACCCCTGTGATCCCGACCACCAGGCAGACAACACGCCGCAGGCTCCTGGACCTGCACAATCTAGCGGGACTAGAGGCCATCGCCTCAAAACGGCTCATTGCAACACTTTGCATTTTGAAATTTCTGGCAACATGTTTAACGCTTGGCAGTTTCTGCTTAACACAGTCTGTGCGTCAGCAGGTTGAACATCCAAGAAATTGGGCTTGAGGCTGCTGTGTGGCCAAGGCAGGTCCATTTCCAAAAAGATGTTCAGCGTGTAGGGTCCAACATTCACTGCTCACGTCGGCAAGAACTTAAGCCGTCAATAGCTGAAGTCAGGGGGTCATCGCAGGTCTGGGGTCCTGATCTTGCCTGCGCTGTAGCCAGTTTCGCTGCAAGTTGCCGTGAAGAATGGCTGAAACCCGAAGGAATATTTCTGGACTAGCCTGGTACCGCTCATGTATGAAGCTTAGACAGTTGCGCGGACATTTCCAGATGCCGGCATGGCATAGTTGTAGCCCTACTGTCGCAAGCTGTAGAGACACAGCGACAAACTGCTCCTGAAAATGGCTTGTACAGCACGTCGGTCTTTTCGTGTGCACGTTAGGTTAGTGGGCAATCTCTGGATGGCAAACAAGAAGCTTCTCATCGAAACGGCAGCCAAATTCTTACGGCAGGTTTGTATCAGTGCAGGGATCTAGGCCACGGATCCCATCCCAACTAGCTTCCGGCCTCTTGAGGTATGCCTTTGTGAGAGCATCCCAATCCTCAGTCTGGCGTGTAGGGTAAGGCTGAATGTTGATATTGGTCATTGTTGTAATTGTCAATTGTATTTTTTAAGCCCTGGTGACTGTTGTGCTAGGATGGCAATAGGACACACACATGTTCGCTGTGGGGCTTGGAATTAAGACCATGCTCCGGGCAACTAAACCACAGACAGGCCCTGTGCTCAGAATTTCGATTGCCTGGGGAGTCGTGTGGCGCATTTTTGCGCAAGGTACTCCGCCAAAAGCAATAACTACTTCGGAGCAAGTTCAAGATACGCAACTTTTGATATGACATGGGCATGTTTGGACACGAACCTCATACATACTGTCCTTCAACTTCTCGAAGGTCCTGAGCCCTTGGACGAGAAATCCTGCTTTTGCATCTGCAAGAACCATACGTGTTTGAGAGCCGCTTGCTCTTCAGTATTGCTGAAACCGGTGCAGGCGCCCTTTCTCTTCACATCCACATGATGAAGGCCCCGTCTCCACCCCTACTGAGAGATCTGGAATTATTGGTGAGTTTCTTCTGGTTTGCCTCGAACCCTGAATTCCGTACTGCTGGATCCTGATTCCCTGGCTGCCCTCAGCCAGACTTGCCAAACAGGATCATGTGAGGCTTGCACTCTCTTCAGGTCCTCTGCGACGCGAGCGTGGCCGTAGCCGGGCCTTGAAGCATGCAGTCCCGAGACCAAGACTTATGAATATGCCAGGCAGGGGCTTACTGAAAGTTTGAGGCTTGGTGCCCTGGCCAGCAAATAAGCTTAGTGTTTTTGTTGAGGATGGCAGAACTCAGCTATTCAGCTCTACAACTTCACCCTTGAGGCAGCATTGGGAGTATCGATCCGGGTGCATGGGTGTAAGGCACCACAGCACGTAGCTTAGATATCGATTCGTCAGCATGCGTTCGCTTCAAAGGTCTGGTTCTTCAGAGTCAATCAATTCCATCGCCAAGGTCTGCCAAGTAAGTATTTTCACCCAACCCTGCTGTTTCTGGACCTGGCAGAAGAGTTGCGGTTTGCCCAATACTTCAGAGATCACAGGGTCGAGAAAATCCCTTAAGACTACATGGTTCATATCACCACTACCACTGCCAGGGCTGCACCTGGAGACTGCAGGTAGAGGTCAGGTTGATGGTTGCTGACAGAGATGGACGCCAAAATTAGGCCGCTTGTTTACCTCTCTACGTCATGGAGCCCTGACAATGTAAATCTGCAATGTAATTAAGTTTGAGTACTACATAAGTCAGAATACTAGTATTCGTAGTCATCAGGCCAGTTGCATCCTCATGGTCATGGTGAGGTAGGGGGAGGTGCAGTATGAGCATCAGCAGCACTAGCAGCAGTGCCGTCCCTGGTGGCGGCAACTGATGAAGTCAGTGGCAGAAACAGGCATGATGGACATGACAGCGAGCATGGGCAACGTCAAGGACAACTTGGCACGCTACACGAGACCCCTCCACTAGTCTGTAGCAAGAAGCCCAGTATTTGTCACCTGCTTCTGATGGTGCTGTCGACTCTTATCACCTCGTTCCTCTTCCCGGATCTTTCTGTCAGCATTTTGACGCATTGGGATGCTCTGAGCTGTGCTGACAGGTATCTTGCGGCTGGATGGGGAGTCATCAGGATCTGCGTGCCCTTTGCTACTCTTGGCCCCAATTCCGGGCTGCCATAAAGTGGTTGCTGGCCTCAAAGAATGCCTGCACCCTTGCCCTTAACTTTTGACTTTGATGCTTAGATACACCCAGGACCTTGTTTCCTGCTACAACGTCACGCCAAGACTGCAGGTCCGAAGCAACACATTTCCTTGGGACTGTGTGAGCCTAGAGGAACACAAGCCCTAAAGGATGTTCGTGAATCCTAGCCCGTCCCAGAAACTTGCACTTTTACGAAACTCTCATGACTTGCCAGCATAATTGTGAGCTCTCTACATCATGAACCCCACAGCAAATGACATGTAGTGGTAGATTCCAAGCTACACGGAGCGCTCCGGGCACAATGTTTTCACAGCTGTGGCGAAGGCTTGGTCAAGGAAGCATGCGGTCCGTCAAGGGCGCATGTGGGATCAAGTCAGGGTGTCCTTTTGGCCGAATTGAAGGGGTATTCCCCATAACCGACATTGTATTCCAGCTTGCATGTTTCAAGATCACCAAACCCGGCCACCCTGCTTCAAATTTCAGATCCACGAGTCAAACTCTCTCAGCATCTCTTCGATTGCCTTCTGGTGATCGACTTTTTCCTGGTCCTGCTGGACGGCCTGTTGGGTGAAGGGAAAGACAGACAGCAGAAAATCGCAGAAGATAATAAAAGGATCATATCACAAGTATGTCTGGTTCTGGGGCTGAGAAGATGCGTCTGTTGGGGTCTGTATGGGGTTCCGGTTCAGAGATGTTCAGAGCTAATTGATAAAGCCCCCTATAGATTGGAAGCGCTTTTGGGTCATATCTAGATTTGAATAGCTTTTGGGCCATATAAAAAGTCGAAGTACTTAAAAGGCAGAGGCGATTCTGTGATTTTAATTCAAGACCATAATTTTGCAGCCCCCAAAAACAAGAACGTTTGTAATCAGGAGCTCAAATAACAACGTTCAAGGTTTAGGTTGAAATTCGAAGACGCTAAAAGCTACAGCTTGAATCTTGAAACCTCATATCCGGAATAAGGAAGGTTTTGCTTCATACGGCGCTCAGCCAATACGAGCTTAAAATTTAAAGAGACTCAACCACTTGGCTGCTCTCAGAATCAGGATAGCAGAGCTGATTCCAGGACATGATGTGTTTTTTGAACTTGATGAGGAGTTAAAGACTCAAACGTTGCTTCCTGAGCTTACGGACCTTGCGTTACAGGACCTCACTTTAGATTTATTGGAACCCACTTGAAATCTGACGAACACCAACTTGAATTCTAATGAAACTCAAAGACAAATCACCTAACAAGCTCATGACTACCAGATGAACTTAAATTGAAATCAGTTAGCGTCCTTTTACAAGCGAGGTATCGAGAACTAAATGAAGTCTAATGTAATCTAGTTGAAGCGAGTTTATGTTACGGGAAACTCCCTGACACCATCTTGTTTCTCAGAACTGGACTGTCTTCTGTGCCTTTATTCTAGAGGTGAGGGGTGCGCTTGTTGATCGAGAGTTCGGATTAAGAGGTTAGGACTGTGTTCATACTGTACATATAGGCTTCAAACCTAGCCGAGTTGATCCTTAACCGGGCGCCTTTTCTGCAACAGGCGCTGCGTTGTTCGCGTTGGCAGCCGGAGCCTGATGGGGTTGACACTTCAGGCCAGTTTTGAATTACACGATATGAGCCCTGGGGCCAGGTGAAGCTAAGTCCTGAGAAAAACTCTAAGGCGCTACCAGGGCTAGGGAACCTACCAGGCCCAGTTACAGCCTCGTCGAGGCTTCCACTTCCATGCTACACCAAAGACTCAAAGAACCTGATGCACTTACAGACTTCCCCAGCAAACCCTCATATGCCAATGGTCGGTCGGTGGTGAGCATTAAGACCTTCAACACCACCTCGGAGGTCCCCACCGTAGCCTTGGAAACCCTGACAAACGTGGTGAACTCTTTCCAAGGCCGCTTGGGCCTGATGCCACCTTGTCTGACTTGCGACCA